CCAAAGTCTCCAACTTTAGCCACCAAGTTGGCATCAACTAAAATATTCCTCGCTGCCAGATCACGATGAACGAACTGTGAGAGAAGATAATTTATACCTCTTTAGCATAGCAGACACTCGCGAATGCTTGAGCTTGTAAACCACGTGTTCTCCCAAATCCTCCGGACCCCCTCCCCCTCACCTCCAGGTCCCGAAGTATGCACTTTACTAAGTTTGCAGCGGAAAATTAGAAGATACGGAAAACTTTATAATTGTCCTCCTATAAGAATAATTTCTCTTTGAAGAGATAAAACTACTTAACCCAGAGAGATGTGCACAGCACACAGTTCAAATTTTCTGTGTCGAATTGGAATTTGGCGCATTGTGACACGATGACATTGATAAAAAATAAAAAGTTTTACCTCTCTTTTCTCTTTCCTCCTTTTCCTTTTTTTCTTTCTCTTCTCTTTCAATTCGTCGCTGGACCTTCCTCTCCAAAATGCGTTCTTTCCGTCGCTCCTCCAAACGTTTCTTGCGTACGTCGTCCAAACGGGCTTGGAATTCTTTCATTTTTTCCTGCCAAAAAAGAATAATATTGGGTCGCCATACAATGTGAATGACAGGCTCACTACAGAAGCTACTTTTTCCAATTGAAGGCTGTAAATAACAATCACTAAATCTTACATTGGACGATAGCTAGCACCAGCACTAATATGAGCATCTTTCACTTTCCCGCGAGCAAGTAAACTCAAGAAGTTTCTTCAATTCCAGGTACAAACTCGCTCACCTTCCTACCAGATCAGATGCAACGCTATAAACCCAGTCGCACCTTACTTCAATTTTCCCGCGCAGTTTACTCTTGCCAATAATTTGAAATTTTTGCGGGTTCCTTGTTGCGACATTTGCTCATTGGTTAGCCGTATCGCTCCTGAGAGCTAATATTTGGCTTCTAATTCATCCTCATAATATCACCCTTGAATTAAATGTACAGCACCAGGTAATGAGAATAACAAATTCTCCTTGTGTGGAGAATATGAATATTATTGTTCGGAAAAAAATGGTCAATGCGATTATTTCGATTTCCGCTCCCTTAATTGAGAAGTGGCGAGTTGCCAAAATAAATTATTATACAAGCTTCTGAAAATGGAGCATTGCAATTACCTCATGAGACGCCTGACGAGCTTTAAGGAGGCTGTCAACAAACGTCTCTTTATCTGACACCATTCGCTGCAGCCTTCCACTGGTTTCCACTAGCTTCTTATGCTCGGACACTGCCTTACTGATCTGAGATTCGAATAGAGCAAAGATTATATTCAACTAAAATAATCGACTATTTGCGGTAATTTATCATTGGTTGATAACTTGAAAAGTCACATGATCGGTATGAGACAACGAAGGCTTGTGGTAAGATCTCTCACACTGCACCAATTGGATACCCAGGAGCCTTTATCCAGGGAACACCGTAGTGACACGACAAAGTGTTCCTTTCATAGGGCGGAAAGTAACAGATACAGAGGTTAGAAGACACATTTTTCCGCTAGGACCAAAGATTGAGGAGTCCCTTGAGAGGAGTTTTCCCACTAACAAGTATCCCCCCCCCCCCCCCCAAAAAATCCTCCATAGTGATTGGTTTATATTTTCCCTCAGTCAATACATACTGCAGCCAATTATATCCAAATGTTTGAGTGAAATTGTTTCCGGAGAAAGTTGCTGGGTATTCCTTATTTTACCCTTAACTGCAGCAGATTTTATTGGCTAAGAAATGAAGAGCTTGCATGCCACCCCTAGAGCTCTGTCAAGGTTGAACTCTTCATTTTATCACAATTTAACGTCAACTCACCCTTTCTTCTTCCTGTTCTTCCCAGAACTTTTGGTCCTGCACAAGGTGTTCCTCGTACTGTTGCTTCAGTAAAGGAATTTCCTCCTTCTTCTTTTATGCTTTCCCTCATTTAGTCTTATAAACAATGTATGCAAAAGGATGCAAATTGTCAAATTTGAAGGTCATCGTAATGAAAGATGTATATCATAATTGCCTTTTGCCTTCAATTAAATGACAGGGCAGAAAACGTGCGACAAAAGTGTATTTATAAAAAGGCAATCATTTGCCAAACGGGATACAGGACCTTGAAAACGACTGGTCGCCCAATACCCAAACCATCAAAAACCCCGAGGAAAGGCGCCCGTTAGTGGGGGATGGAGTAGGGGAGAGAGAGCTTCTAGACGGAAGCGAGCAGGATGATACGATGCAAGACATAGA